CTGAGTGAGCATGACTCTGTGTACATGGTGATGAAATGCATATTTAAGACCCTTTCCGTGCTTCTCAGTTTAAATCCACCTTCATATTAGGCCAGCCAGAAACTTTTAAATGGTTTGCGTTGTTTTCAGTTCATTAGGTCGGTAGCAAGGTCCAATCTGATGGCCACAGTTATATATGAGATGTCTGCTTTGGTTCACCACTGTGCGAACACAAGGAGCCAACATGGAGGTGGAAAATACGCCTCCTATTGTGAACTGCATACATGCAGCACTGGAATGTAAAATCTGACAGCGGCGGGGTTTGGTGAATAATTTATAATAACTTGACCAGCATTAATTTAAACTGTAAGTAAGCAACACAAGTATTAACAGATTAATTACAGGCAACATGTCAAAGAATATCAGATGATCGTTGAAGCTTTTGAATCCTTAATCAGGGTGTGAATATGAGGAATATTACACAGTGTGTAAAAAGACAGCTGATAGGGGGCAGTGAAGTGGTCTGACCGGAGAGTAGAGAAAATAAGGAGGCAGACAGGTGCGAATAGGAAAGGTGTGAATTTGTGAATTGCTATTGGCAGATGGTGATGCAACAGATCTTATTTTCTTGATCTTAAATGTCAAATTATCCAGCAAGTATTTAACAAGAATATGAAAAAGTGCTGCTATAGATGGATGTTTAGTATTAAAAACAGAAAACGTCCTCATGTCTAGGGTAGAAGCTGCATCCTGAGGCGACTGAGCCGGGAGCAGAGCTGAGGGTTGAACCCACATCATTTCTGTCATTTTGTTAATGCACAGAAGAGAACGGTGAACGTTGTGGGGAGGAGGATGGAGTTGGCGGGGATTTGACTGGGGAAACAGGGCCAGACTTCATAGGGGAAGGAGATGAGGTGGCAGAGATACAAGACACATACACAGAAAAAGAACATAGAGACATCCAGGGAGGGTGGATACAGGGAGGAGAATTCAAGGGTGAGAAAGATGAAAAGTCCTCTGGCTACTAAACATTGGTCTTGAGCTTGTTTTTAGCTCTTCAGTACGTCACCGGTCATATCAGAATCAAGAGACATGCATGTTCGATGTTGGGATTAACGCAGCCATGCAGGATTACCTCGGCCATGCAGCGGCAGGTCAAGCAAGACAAAGACTGCAGCAGCCATTCGTAGCGCGATGGCAGCAGGAAGAAGATGCGATCCACCAACGCCAGTATGCTTCAAACGTAGTGGTTGTCAGATAGTGCTAGAACCCCTTCCCCCTGCACCGAAACCAACAACCGTGCATCTTTACAACGATAGTCCTGTTTACAGACATCCAGGCCCATGCAATGCCAGTCCCACATTTATACACGTCAGTAAAACAACTGGATCAAATCATTCATGTTTGTTTTCTCATGTATGTGCTACTATACCAGGTGCTGTAGACAGGTCAAGGTCTCTAAAGGCCCAGACAGATGGTCTGATGAACACCATGTAAAGGACGATGTTATATGATTTCAGTGTGTCACATTTCTATCATACGAAGTAGTGATGCACGATATTAAAACTTCTTGCCGTTACCGATATCTGATATCAAGATTGCTGATATCGGCGATAACCGATATTACCGATGTCGATATTCAATTTTTGTTCACACCGAAAAAAAGAGTATAAGTAAGCACTGTGAGAAAACTATTCAGAGGAGGCCCAATTAGACCACATAGTCCTCTTTATTACGTAACAAAAGTAAAACATATTTAATGTTCAGTCCAGGACCATTTAAGTAAAAACATCTGTGAAATAGCAGCAATATCAAATGTAGAGACGAAGGCGCTGATGTTAGAGTTAAATTTGTTCATCAGACCTATACCAATATATGAGAAAAAACACTAATATTGGCCGATACCGATGTGGTCGCCGCTATATCATGCATCCCTAATACGAAGCCATTCAGAGGTTAAACTAACTATGAAGACTAGCAGAGCGATACAATATCTGCATTTTAAACTGGTATGATATCGTAAAGCTAAGGTCTAGTTGTTATGTACAGATTTTACAATGATTTCATTTTGGAATTTGTTAAAAAGCAAACAAAAAAATAAAAAGTCCGAAGTACCTTTCTATATTACATTTTACAGTTACAGCAGAAGAACTGGTGCCAGGAGCTGAATCCACTCTCGGTCCTCCACAGATGCTCAACTAGATGAAGCATTTGGATTTTTGTGGATTTTAACTTCTTTTCTTTGGACTTTTCAGCCAAATCTTCACTTTAGAATTCAGACATTTGGTACAGCAGGTGGTTGAATCTGCTCCACAGGACTCATCACAACAACACAGCTCCCTCTCTCTACCTCTTTCTGTTGCCCATCTCTGATATTTTAGCTTTTCTCTTTGAGCAACCTCAGCGTGTCGTGACCCACTGGGATTGTCCTGGTTCTCTTAACTGCTGTATTGCGTATGTGTGGTAGAGAGCGTTTTGTTCCCTGTTAACCCCCGTCAGCAGTGTGCAGGTATAAAACCCAGGTTGTGGGAGCTACACGTAGTCGTGACTGTTAATGAGCCACGTAGACCTTCAGCAGCAGCGCTAATGATTCACCACAACCACACCCACTTCATGAAGCGACTGAACAGCTGCACAGAGGTCACACAAAATAAATAAATCTCTAACAAACCTGTCACTTTTCATCTGTACAACACCATGGCTCTTCCTAAACGCCTCTGAGAGGAGACTGTTCTGAATAGCATCCACCTCTACAACTCATCACTTGTCACATGTCAGGTTCTGTGGTGGTGAGCTTTACCCGTTCACGTCTGCAGGTAGCGCCATTCACAATACACAACTTCAGGCAGCCTGTTTTAGAAACTAGCTGGTTTGAAGCATACTGAACTCTTGAGGTTGCAGCAAAGCACAACCTGGCGAAGCTGGTTGGCCAGTGCCCCAGCCTGAAGATCTTATTCTTTACTGCTCATTAGGAAATGCTGGACATTGTTGAGCCACTGCAGCGTGTGCCAGAAAGCCCCAGATTGGACGACCGATACCTCAGACACACCACCAGCTGCTCAGGCAGGCACAGCACACTTCTCTGCACACACACATGCCATCTTCACACCAAAACCTCCAGATTAAAAATGTCGTAGCGACTGCAGGTACAGTCATGCTAAGGCAGTGGAATGACATGTAGAAAGCGAACAGCACCACCAAGTGGCCAAATGGTGTTTATTAAACATGTTGGTTAACAACAGTATACTACACTCGTTATGTATGACATTCATTCATGCAAGTGGGTAAATATTATTCTAATTATGTGGGAATGTCCAATATGACTCCCTGAGACATGTAGGGCACCAGACGACTATATTTGCCCTGATTTCATGGGGTCATTTGTGTTTCATTTTAAATTGTTTGGTGATTTTTATATATGTGGTAATTTAGTAATATACAGACATGACTCGATAATCCGACGCTAAATGTAAAACCTTCTTCTTTGTCGGATAGCAAGGCTGTCGGATTGTCAAGACGGAGGTCCAGATACAAGGAGGGCTTGATGCTGGAAGGCTCATGAGTTGTTCATTATTGTTCACAGTTGTTATAACTAGTAGGGCTGGTCCCAATAGCACTTTCTGCTCTCTGGATATTCAGGCCATCGGTGGCGGCGGGGGAGTGGCCTCCACTGTTACCATCCATATTTACTTCCGTAAACACTGAGCATGCTCGCTGCGTGTGACGTCGTCGTGTCCTCTTCTGCGCATGCGGGACACTTTTGGGCCGTATGAAGTTCACACAGCAGATCACATACAAGTCGCATTTAACTGGAAATGTGAAGGAACTCACAAAGAAATCCTCATTGAGCATCAAGTCCTGCAGTGTGAACGTAGCCAATCTGTGGATGTCAGATAATACGGCGCTATCCTGATTTGGGAAATAAAAGTCATGTCGGAGTCAGAATCCAAGGCTGTCGCTATGTTAAGGCTGTTTTTATGGGTTCTGTTGGTTTTTCCTAAAAACCTGTCAGATAGCAGGTTTAGGATTGTTAAGGGTCGGATTATCGAGTCACGACTGTATATATATATATATATATATGTATGCACTAAATACATTTTAAGGCTATGTCCTACAGAGAGATTTCTCGGTTATCCTGGCCCATTAAATGTTTGGTCAGATGGTAACACCTGTGTCAGACCTTCTGACTTTCCTTCGTCAGAACAGCTCAGGTGTTACCAACTACATTGATGATCACTCTGTTCTGTGCACGTTTCCAATTAAGTCAGAATCAAAGAACAATCCCATGACCCTGAAATTAAGGAACCTAGATAGAACTTAGCCAACATCTATCTGATAGTCTAACCATGTGCATTATCCTACGACGTGTCAAAATGTCCCTCAATAAAAATGCATGGTTTGACTGACTGTGGGACAATAACCCAGCTTGTTATTTGTGGGTTTGAGGAACAGGTGCAGTGGGTCTCAGTAGCAGCAATTAGCTCGTTTTTGCCCTCTTAGTGGTTAATCAGACCTTTTAAAACCTTTTAACATTAGATCATGCATTACTGTAACATGTAATCTTGTGACAGTGAAAATCACACCCACCATTAGATTTTAACTAATTCTTCATATTTTCAGTCTGTATTGTTTCAACAGCTTAAGCTCCATCCTGGATTATATGTCATATCTGTCTGGTCCAGACACACAGTTTCCTCTAGCCTTAGTTTATGCCTGCGTCTCCTCTATTGTTTAGGGTTTAATTCCAAATTACATTCATTGTGTGTCACTTGGGGCAAAAGCATCTTCCAAACGAGTGTAGTGTAGTGAGTCACTGAGCTCAGCATCAACACACTCTTTTGAAGGCACTGCAGATGAACACTTATTGTTTATGAACAGTGTTATGTGTGTGAGTCCAGTGCAGAGACAAGCTAAGCTGCTAGCATCACTACTGCTCATGTCTGCTGTGGGTGACAGACTCGATGTTCTACTTAGGAGTAAACAACAGTACAGCTGCCCGGTACCCAGGCTGCTGGACTCACCGCTGGTTGAAGCTGGCCGTTGATGCTCACGGTGCGAAAAGGCGAGTTGGTGGAAAGACGCTTGTCCCATTCACTGGGCCGCGGCTCTGGTACCGACTCCATAAAGCTTCTCTTCAGCTCACTGATGCTCGTGTGGTGGCGCATGATCTCTGTTTGGGTCTTATCCACGTCCTTCAACAAGAACATGAACGTCAGACCGGGTAGACGGACGTGAAAGTACATCAGCAACAGAAAATGATTAAGATGTGAAGGAAAGATGAGGAAAAAAGGAAGTGATGTATATAAAACCAAATAATCCTATCAGTGAAATAAATAGATAAATAATAAATCACTCATATTGGAACAAGAAGCTGTAGGAACAGACTGCCACTCTTTTATTTGGTCTTTAATATGCAGTATAGTACAGCTGGCTTTGACAAACTCAGGTGATGGAAGGAAGCTGGAAGCTGAATGATTCTGAGAAAGTGTCTGTGAGTTTTCAGATTGTTGTTGTGATTGCATTTTGGTTTATAATGCAAGTTTTTAAAGTCAAGATTCAGTTTCAATATTTACTATGCAGGCTAGCTCAACATATTTTGATTTTCAGTTTGAAACAGATGAATCTGGTCTACACATTAAACATGGCCTCTTTTTGCTTCACTACTGTGTTTGTTCTCTCTTCAGGCATCTCCAGATCCGGACCTACATGTCTCAGATAGCAGCCTCACAGATCTCCAGAATGTTCTCTTATGTCTTGTCTGCTCTCCATCTGCTATCCCAGCTCCACCATCCCCTCATCCTCCCTCTCACCCCAACCGGTTGGAGGTTTTTCGGTTCTGTCTCGCTGTCGATACCAGGAGACTGGACTTTATGTCTTTAGTTCTACAGGAACATATGTTTTTAGGAGAAGTGTCGACCAAGCACTGGATAACATACTGCATATTAAATCATTACAGTAGGCAGGCTGAGTCTATACAGTAAATACATACATGTGTGATAAACAGGTACATTAACTGGAAATTATTGGCTTTTATTGACTTATTTGGACGAGCAAACATCTGATCTTTGATGCAGTGCCTCCAGGTAAAAGTGATGCTCACAGCTAAAATTACTTTTCATACATTTAATTCTTATATGACAAAGGAAGCACACGTCTGACAACAACTGTCCACCAGCCTCTTCCATGCAAACTTCCTTAACTTTCAAGATGTTTGAGGGTTTTCCTGCATGTACTGCCTGTTTCCAAAGCTTCCCATCCCTTCTGTTTTCCTTTTCCTGCAGTTCAAACTGTGCAGTCTCTTCCTGACTGTAGGAGCAGCACATGTAATGACATATAGTGGCCTCTTATATACCCTGGGAGTACAATGAAGCTGAAGCATGTCAAATAGGACATAAAGTATGATGGAATCAGCTGCATGTTTAGTTGTGTTCATTGTATTCTTCAGGTTATGCACCTTCAGTGGTACCAGGCATTAAAATGAAAAAAAAAAAATGAAGAAAACAAGGTGGTCTAATGATGTTTTCCATGACTGTTTATATATATATGAATCATTTCTACCAAACTCTACGCAGGCACCCACATCCATGTTTCTGAAGGCCTTAGACAACTGTTCAGATGTTGTTGTAATGACACCAGTCAGCGACAATCTACCCCTCCCCAATAAGGTTCATTGACATTTAATCACTCAAAGTCTATAGATTTGGTTTGCATTTGTATTTACTTTACCCATGAGACTCACCTGTTGATGGAAATGACTACAAAAGGTCAGTGTTATGTGTATCACTGTTATAATATGCACTGTTGTAATGAGGATTGAATGGTCACCTCTCCAAATACACCAGAAAGCCAACAATTTCCATGAGACATCTTTAAATGACTGTACAGTACAGACACGTGAAGAGAGGGATGGCAGGCTACACACTCTGAAGGCTGAGGTCGTACTCAAAACCCAGGTGTATAAAACTAAACTATGAGCTGAGACCAAGCAGCTGGGTAGACCTGCAGACTGCTCATAATCCTGTGGGGTTATAACAAGTGACCCCTTTCACACTGCTTGTAGAGAGGGAAGATAACGTCCACGCCACAGTAAACAAATGTCATCCCTTTCTTCTGAAGTGACATAAACTCAGCACAGAATGTCAACCAGCACAATAATCACAGCATTTAAACGTGAGTTAAGAGTCACAGACAGATGGTATATTTTGCATGACTTCAGGAGAGAGTTGGGTCAACAGAGGACAGGAAGGTGAGTGGATGTCATCAGTAACCATGAGAACCAATGAGCAACAACAACAGCAGTGTGATAACATGTTAGTAGCATCACGAGGACATATATGACCGGGAAACAGATAAAAATGTATTTTCTATTAATTTTTCCGGCCTATACAGCCTTTCCACAGCAGACACTTGACTTGTCAGAGCACAAGGTTAGACTAGAAAGTCACTAAGAGCACATCCTCCTCTAAGGTCAATGCCCTCTCTCTTAATGTTTGATACCATAAAGACATTGGTAAGGACCTCGTTGTGCTCTAGTGGCATGTTGTCGAGAGCTAAATGCTCTTAGCAGGGCCTTACAAGCGGCAAACAGGTGTCCAGATGAATACGATCCATAAGACTTCTATTGATCAGAGGAATCTGCTACCTTGCCCAGAGCAGGGAAAGGACCTATGAAGGACTCAATAGACTTTGCTGTCCTGCTGGGAGACTTAAACTCCAACACTGGCAATGACTGTGCAACCTGGTGTGGAGTGCAGGAATGGCCTGCTTGGACAAACCCCAACCCTAGTAGAAAATTGTTGTTGGACTTTTTCGCTGGTCATAGTTTTCCCATAACGATCACCATGTTCGAACACAAGGTGGTTCATAAGAGGAGTAGTGCCAGATGACTTGGGTTTAAGGTCTATGATCAAAATCAGAGTTGTTATAGAAACTATGAGGTCTTGTGTTTTCAACATTTAGGTGAAGGGAAGCGATAAGAAGAGTTGTCAGTTCATCCCCATTTATTTCTGTTTTGAATCAGATGACAGACCTGGAAGACCCAAACACATAGTTGGGCTCTGCTAAGAAACACTGGCAGAAAACTGTCTGGAACAATTGCCTGGAGTCTGAATGGATTCTGTTTAAGACCGCCATTGTGAAACGTAGCTGTGATCTAAAACCTGCAGGGGCCTGTCACGTTGGCAACCCAAGGACATGGTGGTGGATGCTGGAGGGGAGGACAGCCATCATGTTTAAGAAGGTTTTCCAATCTTGGCTGATTCCGGGAACTCTGAATTCTGTAGATAGGCACAGACGGGCAAGAAATGTTGTGAAAGCTAAAGCCACAGAAGCAAAATCTGGGTTTGGAAGTTTTGGAAAGGCCATAGAGAGTAACTTGGGCTGACCTCAAGAGGATATGGGTAACAGTCCAACGAAGAAGGGACGTCATACAAGTTATGTTCAGCAAAGGGCTGGGAACTGCCAGGCATGGGAAAGAACACTCTGAGGATCTTCTAAAAGAATATAAAGTTGGAGGCTGTCAGGGGATCTAAGCCCATCTCTCAGAACAAAATCACTGAGGCAGTTAAAAAAAACTGGCAAGGCTCTGGGGATTGGATGAGAGTTCCCTGGGGTTGCTGTAGGTTCTTGATATTGTTGGGCTGTCTTGGTTGACACATCTGTACAACACTGTATGAACCTTAGGGACGTTGCTTCTGTCCTCACAAACTGGGCTGGTGGTCCCCATTTCTAAGAAAGGTGATCGGATGAATTTTTAATACCTTCAGAAAGTTTGATACAGAAAACTGCTATCTGAATAATAAAGCTATACTGGTGTTTGACCTTCTGACAGACCATAAATCCTACTCAAGGACACTTCAACCAGTATTACTGGGATTTAAATATATATATATACTAAAAAGCAACAACAAGCCTAAAAATGAATAAAGGTAATAAAAAGCCTGTACGCTCCACAGTTGGAGGCGAACAAAGGCATGACGGTTGGTTCACTAGTCAGCCTGCCAACCTACTCTGTGTTTCTAGAGCTTTGTTAAGTCTGCCAGTGATGTCATAGCATACAGTACATCTGAGATTACTTCATTTTTGTTTGCGTGTTCGTTTGTTTAAGCATCACAACACAAGCTGTAGCTGCAGCACGGACGTAAACTTTAGATGTTTCCCAATCATATATGTCATAAAATGAAAATATGAAATTAAAGAGACTGTGTGATCATGAAGCAAAGCTACTTGCATGAGAGTCAGAGAGGAAAATAGTGCATGCCAACCCTTTAGGATTGAGCTAAAAAAACAAGATAAGACAAAGAGAAAAAAGAAAGAAACAGAAACCGAGGTTTCAAGCAAAATGGAAACTGTCAGAATGTGCATGCAGGCAGAAAAATGTGTGAAAAACCAGAACGGAGAGGCGTTTAAGACTGAAGATACAAACCTCCAACATTAAATTGCTATGTCTGATATAAATAGTTTCACCCTCAAGTTTCTTAGCTCGCTTCTGTGGAAATGAGGAGAAGGAAGAACTAGTTGGAAATAATGCAGAATCAGTTAAAACATTCTCATATTTGATTTGCAGTCGTGTCCGATTGGCAGCAGTAGTTTGGTGATGACGTGAATCACACACACACACACACACACACACACACACACACACACAGAGGGGGAAGATGAGGGATTGAGCCACACACAGCAGTCATGTGCATGAGAAGCCAGGCACATACACACTCAGTGCTGTGAGCAGAGTCACATGCTGGTCATGCAAAGGTGGCTGCAGTGCAGTGAGGAGCATCACTGTGGGTATGTCTGTCTGCTGGAGCACATCACATTCACTTGTCATTATTTTAATTTTTTAACTCCCTCATTATAAATTGAGGGAAAATATTGAACAATATATGAAGATGCATTATAATTTATTTAGAGAATCGTAACGAACTGACTGTAAGTTCAGATACCTCCTACCTCTTGCATGCTGCTGTACAAACTGAGTCTAAAATTTAAATGATGTGTGGACAAAATGGAAAGACAACAATGGTAAAATGCACAAATGTTTGCCTGGTTTGCTGAGGACTAAACTTCATCTCATTCTGCTCTCTCCAGATACACCGCTGCCAACAACGAGTCAGCACGGTAGTGACAGGCTGGGAGCTTCATACTGAGTCTGAGTGTAGTAAATAGTCTGCATTTATATATACCTTAGCGCTCGTGTTTTATTCACCCACTGATGGCAACAGAGCTGCCATGCAAGGTGCTTGCCTGTCATTGGTAGTAGCTATGTACTGGGGTTACTGACATTATGAGCCAGTTATTTAAATTATTGTACTGCATAAACATCTTTTTAAGCTAAAAGAAAGCAGGGGAAAGACTTAAATATATATATATAAAAAAACAACCTTTAAATTAGATTTAGCCAACATATATATATATATATATCTTATTGTCTGATTTATACATCCAGACTTCTACACCTTAATCCTCACTAGGGTCATGGGGGGCTGGAGTCTATCCCAGCTGACTCAGGGTGAAGGCAGGTTCACCTGGACAGGTAACCAGTCTATCACAGGTCCTGAAATCAAGACATTTGTTGTTTATTATTATTAGCATTAGTAGTAGTAGTGGTAGCGGTCCTAGTATTGCATGTTTGCTGCTCGACAAGGATAAACTCTTACACGAGGAAAACACTTTGTCCACCAGTCACAGGGAGAGACGGTGACTAACCAATAACCTGCCCAGTGGACTGGTTTCCCCTCGTTATAACAGAAAGGTGACGTTTACATGACATGTACAAGCTGTCAAAGGAAGTCAAACATCAGCCAGAAATCATAAAATAATAAAGACAGTAAAGCACTGTATGCATCTGCAATGAAAAAACAAGACGGTTAGGAAACAGAAAAGCAAATCAAAAGTGCTCTGATGTGCGACTGATGCAGGGGTGGCTGGTCAACGAGAACACCGGCTCAGAAGGATGCTAACCTTCCTCACGCGCACCATCTCCATCTTTTTGTCCTGAAGCGAGTGCTGCTCCTCCACCAGAGGAAAGACGTGTTAAGATCTCATTTGTAATCCGGCCACATGTCATTTGTTATACACTAGTAACAACTGACTGAACATGCTGCACAATATGCTCAATACATAGTTGTGTTTTTTGTCAAAAACTGCTAATCATATGAATTCTCAAATATAAGCCAGTGATGGTCGAATTACATTTATCATAATAGAAGACTTTATATCCAACTCCTGTGAGGCAGGGGATGGATGATGTGATTGGAGCCACTGGATGCTGAACTTCATTGATGGTAGTTTAACTTTTATCAAAAACAGTCAAATTAAGGCAACTGGAAACAATTAAAGAAGCAGCGAGCTCTTTGTACTAACGGGATTATTGCTGTGGAAAAATGTGTCTGATGCTGAATTCATCAAGACAACAGGTAAACATGGAGGCACTGCTGAGCTGAACAGCAAACATGATGATGTCTCATTGAATTACCGTAAATCCTGGACAACAATCTACGATACCTATTTGTGTATGTTACAGGTACATATTTCATCAAAAGTTTTATCCTTCTGTGTAAATATCTCATGTTCCAACGTGGACACCTGCAGCTTAGAGACAGGTGCAGCCTGTATATGTACACACCTGGTTTTCTCTTTAAAGTTAGTGGGTGGGGCCTATATTCAGGTGCCTCAATAGTCCAGAACTTACGGTAATATATAATAATGAATTAATAAGAGCCAAAATAACAATTTACTCTATCAAATGCCTTTTTTCTTTTTTTTTAAAGGTCTGATTCTTTATTCATTTGAAGCTTAAAGCTGCTTTCTGTGTTGTATTCCTATTGTGCCAGAGGTTCTTTAACACTATATTAAAGCTACCATTTATAGCACATCAGTTTAAATATGTTTGAATTCATGACTATTTCATATAATTCAGTTACATAAACCTCCATGTGTACTTGTTTTTTTTTTTTTAAACTTTAGTACGTTGATATGGCTCCAACACGTGCTTCGTCTGATCATATATGAAGCGAACAAACCTGGCTTTTTCTCTCTCTTTCTCCGTTGGTGATGGCCAAAGAGGGCGAGTGCCTCCGCTCTCTCCTGGCCACTGTCTGGCAGACAAAGCTCACAGATTGAGGATCAATTCCAAACAAAAACTAGGCACAGCCATGATACTTTTGTTCTTGTTAAAATCAGATGCTGTTGACATCTTATCACAGTATTACGCCTTATTTAACTTGACGGTACATTGAATCTCATTTATATATTCAAATCTCTTGAGTCAAAAGCCCTCATTACGGATCTATTACAGGTGTGTTCCTTAACTGTAAACATGTGGGATTTACACCATTTGAGGTACTAAACATACTTCATTTGTGATTTGACCTGTGAAACTGTCCACCAAAACAAATCCACTGTACTTTCATTGTTATTAACATCTTCTGTTTGGTCTCATTGCTGATCACTGATTGCATGTTTATTATTCGTTCAGTAATGAAGAGAGTGAAAGCCTGATGAGGAAACATAAAGAGCTGTGTTCTCTACCTTGATGTCTGGAGTGAACTCTGGTTTCGGGCTGTGGCTCTTGGTGTACTCGGCCGGCAGACAATCCACCTTAAACTCTGCCTTCCTGTCTGCGTAGCGGTGGCCTTTTGGCGTGGAGCCATCGTGGTGGTCGGAGCGAGACAGCATGGGTAGCAGCGGCGACGGGGTGGCCTCCCCGGGAGACACCGGCGACATGACGGGGGCGCTGACCGGACGGGTGGATTTGTTGTCGGGAGTGGACGCCATCGCTGGTGGAAACAAAGAGAAGAGACTCTGGCTTCACTTAGATATGAAACTAAATGTTTGTACTGTAATTATTCCATCAACATGACTTGAACCTGTGCATGGATTAGCAAACAAGCCAATAAATATGATTGTGTTGGAAGAAGTTGGGTCCTGGGATTGGGGCATTTGAAGAGATTGTTGCCTCTGGATTAAACCGATGGGTGACAGTAGCTCAGCCGGCCATCGTCTCCCTCTTTGTTTCTGTCACATTAGTCTGCATTTAGCTGTGTACATTTCTATAAGGGTTCTGTGTAAGAAGAGTGACTGTATACCAGCACTGCAAACATGTGTCAGTTGTCCACAGTTCAGATGGAAGTGTTCGGGATAATAACATCAAGAGTCTACAGGCGTGCCAGTTCTGTGAGGCTGTAGTTGATTAACGCCTGTACTGATGCAGGACTTCCCCCTCAGGTCACATGTCTCCTGTAGAAAACTACCACGCCGAGCCATCCCGGTTACATTCTGTAGTCTTTAGAACATAAATGGTGTACCTCCATCAAGGCTGCGTGAGTTCCTCTTGCTGGACGAGCGCTGGAACAGAGGAGCTGGTCTGTCGATGAGCGAGCTGGCCTGTCTGGTCTGAGCCTGGGTCCGACCGCTGTACCGGAACTTAGAGCCCAGGGCGAGGAACTTCCTGGGCGTGGTGGCCATCTCCGTTGAAGTTAGCCTGGACACAAAGATCACTGATGTTGGTTTTCTGATATAACTCTGGACCAAACATAGTGTGCACATTATCCAGAGCTCCCCAATGAAGAGAGTACGATCCCCCACCTGAAGAAGGTGTGATGCTCTACACACACTTTCCACAGCTTCTTGGCAGCCTTGTAGTTGGGTAGCTTGAAGCCAATGGCACTCTCATACTGTTCCACCTGTTCAAACAAACAAAAAATCAAAAGTAATAGAATGGACTCTGGTTTTATTGTTTACTAGGATGAGCTACATGTTGAACAGAGAACCACAGACTTTATGGGTGGTGTACCTCAGACGGTCGGATCTTTATGAAGAAGCTGCTCCGCTTGTAGGAGACCTTGAGGACTTTGGGCCAGGGGAAACGGTTGATCCTCAGCTTGTCTTTATAGACCATCAGGCCACTAGAGCAAACCCCGAGCATGATGTCGACACCGTCCAGATCCTGACAGAGATAATGAATGAAAGAGTTTCAGTAATCCATGTGCCACAGTCCCACCTGATACCTGTGGTGCAATACAACCGTCCCTCCTTAAAAACAGAGAGCTCCATCAGTCTAAGAATAAGCACACCAAAGTGTAATTGTTTTAATATGAACAAGCAGCGCCTTCGTGTTGCTCCAAGTCGTCCACCGGGGGGCAGTACAGTCTTCAGAATGTCCCTTTTGTATATATATTTCAAATCCCTGCTCTGATGTAAACAGATTAACCTGATTTCTGATGTAAAACATGTTTCACGTCACATGTCTTCCTGCTGTTCATGTTCGGCAGTTCAACACTCAGAATACAGACTATTTTATGCACCTCTGTCGTTTGGATAACAATAATTATTATATTTTAGCATGAAAAATATCATTTTGGTTAAAGAGCTTCTACATACTGGTGTATTAACGGTTACAGACAAACCATCCATCCATCATCTCTACACCTTAGTCCTCACTAGGGTTGTAGGGGGTGGAGCTTATCCCAGCTGACTCAGGGTGAAGGCAGGTTCACCTGGACAGGTAACCAGTCTATCACAGGGCTACACAGACAACCAAGCACACTCACATTCACACCTACGGACAATTTAGAATCACCAATTAACCTCGGCATGTTTGTGGACTGTGGGAGGAAGCCGGAGACCCCGGAGAGAACCCACGGAGAGAAGCTACGGGGTTGTCGTCCATGTTCATACCTTTGCTTGGTGAAGGTCCACTCCATACATGGACAGTTTCTTGGCGTTCTCCAGGAACATCAGGTCTGCCTGGGCTGGACTCATTGACCTGCCACGACACCATAGCAGGAATCCAGGAACATTGTTAGGTACTATGACAGTTTCTTTTTTTAAAGCAATGAAAGGTGTCCTTTTCCTTCATCTGTTATTTAGGGCTTCCCTTGTAATGGAGCTACTTGGCTGCATTAACAACTAGATGGCGCTACGTATGATGAGCAGTGCACTATAATTTAGTACACAACATTTTCTCCACTCGTACTTTAGATGAGTAACTCTGTTTAAGCTGTTTAATTATTTTTCTTTTACTTGAGGGGCAACTAATGTATGAAATAAATAAGTACATGAAGTAGTAGTAACACATTTAGGATAAAGTGCGAGGAAACTAAAATATGCATCATATTTCAGATTGCTCAATGTGGTCACTGTTTGCTGTGATGAAAACTCTTCACACTATTTACCATCTTTTAACCACTTTCATGAGGTTGTAACCTGGTTGGCTTCATCAACGGATGACTGGCCTAGTCTCTGAATAAGTCTGAGAACATCTTTCATGTGCTGGGTTGAGGTAGTGTTGATATAAAACAAACTACTGTAGTCATTGATGTTATGGAGAGAGCTGCTCAGTTAATTAAGCAGAACTAACAGTCCATTGTTACTTGAGGTCAGAAAAGTTTCATAAAGTGTAAAAACCATCAACAATCTGCCTTGGGCTGACTCTCATGACCACCTGAGGAGAAGAAGATGACTCCGCCCACACTTCTGACTGAGTTAGTGTTCTGACCTGTACGTCTGGTGCAGCTCCATCATTTTGTCCTCCAGCTCCTTGGTCTGACCCTGGGCCATCTTCATGTCCTTTGCGTATTCGGTACCGTGCACCTCTGGGTCGTACTCGCCTATCTCCGACTGCAGGGCATAGGAGCCCAGCAGAGCCAGCGTAACAAAGGAACAGGGAAGGCGGCCCTGCAGGATGTCTTTTCGCAGCTGGAGACACAGGTAGTACCTGCAACGCACAAACAGCGTCAGCATCACGTATGGGATCTGCTAAAGAGGACTCTGGGATGTGGGTCAGAGCCCTAAAAACAGGTAGTGAACTGTGAGTTAACCGTGCAGTACCTCGTTATGTCCTCTGAGAGCTGGGCCGGGTCCGGTGGATAAAATTTTACATTGAAAGTGAAATTATAGTTGGCACCTTGAGAGAGAAAAGAACAAACAGTAATAAGAGCATTAGCACAGAAAAAGGGAAGAGCAGACGTATTAGTGGGTAAAGTGAAGCTCACCTTGCACCTGCCGACGGATCTCCTTGGTCAAGTCCATCCAAGTCTGATCAAGAAATGAGGGATGTAGCATGAGATTAGATGTCATCAAACACTGAACTCCTTCAGCAGCAGGGTCACAAGGTATTATATATACATTTACATGGAATGTTTCGTCTCAGTAGAACCCTCAGATTGTTGAACGGATACTGACTAGTGACCACCACCGTCGAGCTTACCTTCATGGTTGTCGTCTCCCAGATGGCCAGCCCATAATAGTCTTTCTCCAGCAGGTTGAGATGGTCACACACTCTCATGAAGAGCTCCTGGCCTTTGGCATGTTTCTAACGCACGCACACACACACACACGCACACGCACGCACACACACACACACAGAATATAACACAAACATTAAGCATTCACCTGCTAGTGCAACAGGCCTGACATCACATGAAGCACAGTGTATTCAGAAATGTGTAAAGCACGACTGAGCAGATGGACAGAACCGTGCAGAAGTCCTGAGGCAGCAATTATGTCTGACACAGGACGACTGAGCAGCTGCAGGATTTAAAGTGTGGCACTTTCCAGAGGAGCAGACTGGTCTCAGATAGGCCTGCACCCACTATGAGCCGTTCTATCAAACTCAGAATTACAGTTAAACTAACTTTGTCTGCTAGACTGCCGACATGGACATTTTCTGCTGAGAATCCACTGACATTTGGCACTTGATCTGGGTAGATGTTTCTATATAGTCTGGTCTCCAAGGTGATAGGTGGTGAAAGGAGGGAAGGTTTATCACATTTGCTCTCATAAAGCAGAGCCTCAGGTGTAAGTGATGCCAGAAAGAAAACAATAACAACTTATATTGGTCCCATTTGGATGAGATTGACATTTAAGGGGAGGACAGGCAAAGAATATTGGTATCTATGGTCAATGACAGTGTTGAACATTGTGCAGCATACGTGTGTGGACATGACAACAAAGCTCTTACAAAGAAAATGCTCTTACATCCAACTCACACTCAAACAGAGTGTCATCCAGCAGCGTGACTTTAACTTGCATGGTCTTGGGTCGCCGCGGAGCTCTGGAGGTTTTGACCTCTTCGTCTGTCGTCTTCTCCTCCTTGTCTCCTGTACTTCCTCCTTCCAGGCCAGAGTCCTTCCCCTCCTCCTTCCCCTTGTCTTTGTCCTCGTCCTTCTCCAGCGCCACCTCCTCTCCCTTCTCCTCGTTGGCCTTCTCCTTTCCAGCTGTCTCCTGCTCGGCTTCCTTCTTCTCTGTCTGGACGACCTAAACAAAGACACTCTGTTGACAATACAGTCTACACGCTGAATAATGATTAGTCTAGACTATTGATAGTATGAATACCACAGACGGTGCCAACCAGGCTCCCTGTCCCTACTGCTAAGATGCATCTCCACAGTATGATGCTACCACCACCATGTTTCACTCTAGGGATGATATGATGGTATGTTTGGAGCTCCCTTATCCTGACAAAGTCTTCTAAATGCTGTCTGTCATATTTCAAGAGGGCTGCAATGTACCTTGTATTCAAATGTGGCTTTCCCTTTGCAACTCTACTATCAGGCTTCCATGTGCAGAGGACTTCTGAGGCTCTGTGTGATGACCAATGGGTTGACCGAGGCATTTTGGGCTCAGTTTGGATGGATGGATGGATGGATGGATGGATGGATGGATGGATGGATGGATGGAAAGCTCTAAGAAGCATCATGGTGGCCCCAAACTTTGCAAACTCGTTTTGATGAGTATGGAGACCACCATGCCCCTGAGATCACTAAGAACTTTATAATTGCTCATAGTGACTGGCATCAGACACAATTTCATGGCAAAGGTATACCAAGTTCCTTTTGTTTTTTGTTCTAACATACAGGGACATGTGTGGGACCTTATACATACACACAGGTGGGCGCCTTTCTAAACTACATCCAATCAGTTGCACTTGCCACAGGTGACCTCCAGACACATCGCAATGATAAATAAAGCAAATGAGATACATCTGGCCATAATAACATACCATCATCGTCATATTATTACCACTAATATGCCACAGCAAAGGGTCTGAATACATTTGGAAATTTGAGATTTCATTTTTCATTTGAAAATCAAAGCTGCAACAAAACACCATTAAGCACCTGTATATGTTGATTATTGGTGATTTTATCGATGGTTGTTATGTTGACATGGGCATTAGAAACTGGTGATGAAGAAAGTCATTTTCTTTTATTTTGATGGTCACAGACCGCTGAATTCATTCCCTGTTGCCATGTGTTTTCCCATCACCTTTTGTCATGTGTTTTCCCACCTCCTGTCACAGACCCCCGATTCCACCCCCTGTTGTTCATTGTCCCCTTACCTCCTGCCATTTGATTAGCAACTGTATGCTATCAGAACCCCAACTCCACCACCCGCCTGGTCACCACACTCCGATTTCATCACCTGTGATTCATTGTCCCCCCTTACCTCCGGTCATTTGATTAGCAACTGTATGTTAATTTACCTCTATTCACCTCTGTATTTACATACAGGCCCCCCTTACCCTCTGACTTACCCTATAAATGTGTGACTCTGCAGATGTTCAGGGTCGGTCCACCTTCACAGACTCATGCTCTGTGATGGTGAGCCCACTGTATACCAGAATACTAATAAACACCCACTACAGCAAACTTCACATGAGGACTATGAGTAAAATTTCTTCAACACTGGTTTATCAATGATCCATGTGTCATCTCACTGGTAAATGTTCATGTGATTTTTCTGTAAGTTTAGGGGGTTTGGGGGATGGTACGTGTCAAAGTAACGTCCACATGAACACCATGAGCCAAAATTTCCCAGAAGATGATCATTGGGATTCAGTGTTTTTAAATGTTGTGGATGTTCAGTGTATCTGTTTCTTCATCAGTAAACACACTTCCTATTTGGTGGGAAGTAGAAGACTTTCAGAAGAAGCCTGCTTATATTGCACACACCTCATGTATGTACATATCTCTCTCCCTAAAATGACGGATCTCTTGTGCTGCCCTCCCCTGCTGTTAGCATAGACCCCTAGGTGGGCTGACCTGAACCTCAGCGCTGCTTACTGAGTGCTGGTCCAGGGCAACCTCTCCCTCTGTCCTCAGCTCAGGTTCGGGGTCGGCGATGGGGGCTTTGGCTTCCTCTTCCTCCTTGTCCCCCTTCTCTCCCCCCTCACTCTCACACTGCGAACGCCTCTTCAGGAAGGAGGAGAAAAGGCGCGAGAGGCCGCGGCCAGCAGAGTTGCGGTTTCGTGGCCGGAGCTGCTCATCCTCTGGAGAGGGCGGCCGGGCATCCTGGCCAGACTCCTCCTGTTGTCCTGGCTTCTTGTGACTTTCCGCCTCGTCTGTTGTCATGGTAACACCTGTTGAGGTAGAGATAGAGAAACAGATTGGACGCTAACATCAGGTGGGGTCTTTCACTGCTTTAGTCATGATCTCTTATGATACAAGTCCACTGTGTTGTGTTTTGTGCTCGGAGGTGTGAAGCAAAAGATCCTGAAAATATATATTTAACCTTTAAAATAGCAGATCACTTACTGCATGCATGGAGGAAACCCTGCATTAGGAAGGGAGACATATATCACCACAAGATATAATCCAGCTAAATGCTCACAGCTTGATTAACTGTTTTTCTTCTCATTTGAAAAGCATGCAACTACTTCCATCATACATTCAAACAGACACAGAATGACATTTCTGCAATCCCCTTCATCATGTCACACTATTATCACTAAAAATGCCGTCCTGTGCTCCAGGGTCGGTCATTTCACACCAGTGTCTCTAGTGTCTATTGTAACGAGGTTGAAAGTTACCGTCTCACCTTAAGTTGGTGCCAGTAGCAACACCAAGTGGTAAATGGTAAATGGACTCCACTTATGTAGCACTTTTCTACCTTAGCAGCACTCAAAGCGCTTTACAGTGTGTTTCTCATTCACCCATTCATACACACATTCATCCACCAATGGTGACAGAGCTGCCATGCAAGGTGCTGCCTGCCATTGGGAGCAACTTGGGGTTCAGTGTCTTGCCCAAGGACACTTAGACTGTGGAGGGGATCGAACCGCCATTCTTAGGATCAGAGGACAACTGCTCTACCACTGCCCTCAGTACATACATTCAATGTAACAGTGTCAATGAAATAAATGGCTGTGAATCTGCCGTTCACAACTTGGCTTCCTCATTATTAACGATTACTACAACTGAATATGTACAATAAAAATAGATGCAATGACATCAGAGCATAGAGAGTCTGTGTCCTCTTCGTCTTTGTCTGTTTCTGGCCTGTAACTGACCTACCAGCTCTTCCTGCACCCTGAGCCACTATAAAAGAACCTGATTTATGGCTTGTGCTTATTGTTCAGTTTCTGCAGGTCATGTCCCGGTAGCATAGACCCGTGTGTCAGACTAAATTGCCAATGTTAACTGATAAAATCAATAGAGGTAGTTACTTTAGGAAGCACCCAGCACCATCAGCAAAAGAAGGTTGATTGACACCAACAGATGAGTCATTCTGGTGTCTTCAGTGTAACGGGGTAACAGGAACGCTTTAGGACCATTCAGGTGTTTTGACAGCTTTACAAAAATCTGCCTCTTCCCCAAAACACAGTTTGTTAATTCTTCGGAGCTGCTCTGCTCTGCATGCCGCTGTCCCTGCAAACAGCAGCTTTCAGTGTTGATTGGCTGCAACTCATGATGTGTAACAGCCAAACAGGTAATACTGTGGGCGGGGCATCGCTGGAGACCAGAGAGGGACCACAAAGTCTGAAGGCTCATGTCATTACTCCTTGACTCCTCAGTCCTCAGGCCTGGAAATCAGCCTTGGTGCATCATAGCAAAGGATGTCTCAATTAATAAAATGCTTATTGAGGAGGGAAAATCAAGCATCAAGGATTCCTGCTGGACAGAGATCATAAAATACAGGTAGGTTGTAATAAAACCATGGACAGGTGATGCAGCTGTTATGGCTTAAGCTTTGCCTTAGTTTTCAGAAAAAGCTAGCCATCCTTGGGGCATCCTCGTAGCTGACTCGCTCTTGCGTAAAAACACACATCCCCGTCGTTTCTGCATTTTGCAAATTCTATTGTTGCACACCATGCAGTTCAGTGCGCTGAGATCCCCACACCTGTCCCTGGTACTGGACCTCATTTCTAAAGACTCGCCTCCTTCTACTAGAAACAAAACAAAGACATTGTTCATAATAAACTAAACATTTTTTAGCAAAACAAAAAATAAAAACAATATTATAGATTGTGGCTTGAACAGCAGCTGTGAAAAACGTCCTAATTAATTGATGTCGCTTTAAACGGAGGTGAGAATGCCTCATTACGGTAAATATCTGTTAGCTTGACTCCTCCTCTGGTGGGAAGCACTGAGACTGGAGGAGAGGAGTCAAAGACAGGAATCCAAAACATGCAATTAGTGAAATAACTGGTGACCAGTTAATCAAAATAACACTAATAATCTGAAAAATGCCAAATATCAGCCCTGACAATCAGCCAGGCCGGTTGAGCCTTTGTCATCATCACTCCATCCTCTACTACAAGCAGCACGACTCAGCTCGTATGAACCTATGAGGACCGTCGGCTCACATTTATATTCTAACGCCTGTACAGAGGCTTTTCATTACATCAGTGAAGGTGGGCGACGGAGCTGCATCAGTTGGCAGCTGAACACAGATGAACCACAACACTCTGACGCGTTGTTGCTGTGGCAACAACAACCATGTCAGAGAGGGAGGGAAGATGAAACAACGGGAGACGGTACTGTATGAAAATCTGTGTCAATAAACTGTATTAAAATAAAACCTTCCAGCAAGGACGGGCTGCTTTTCTCGTGTAGCTGCTGGCAGCAACAGAGAGAGAGAGGATAATGGCTACCTAAACGTGTGACATAAATTAATCACATATTGTAAAATAATTCAGCATTAATAAACGTGTATCATATCTGGCAGGCAGTTATTGGTTACTGCTGGTCTATAGCTGGTTAACGTCTGTGTGAATACCTACACCTCCTCTGTGAGATGCGTTGATCAAACGGGTACAAGTCCTTCAACCTGATTCTGATCTTGGCTGTGTCTGCTTTTACCTTCAGTGTGTCGTTGTTGACTTGATGTGAAGGGACAGTTCTCAATGCTGCCTGTCATGTCCACACCCACTACTAACTCTCCACTCAACACATTCTTAGTGGACTGGTAGTACACGAGAAGCTATTTCAAGAGGCACTGCTGAGTTTCAGGTCGCTGCAGCTGACTGCTGAAACCAGTTATGAACACGGACTGTATGTAAAGATGGACAAACCCTTACATCGTGTGACCCTGTGTTCCTGAGGAGCAGTTTGGAGATGGCTTCAGCTGTTGCCAAACATGAGCAAAAAAGGTGGAGCCATTGATTATGTATGAGTTTAAAAAATGAATAATATCATGGAAAAAATGAGGCTTAATTTTTCAGAACACTTTCAGCTTACTTCCTGAAGAACATACCCTGTATTTAAAAAAGATGCACCATAACATTGAAGAAAACAGCCGTGTAAAGAATGTTTATGGCTGGCTACAGGCCATCCATCCATCCATTATCTCTACACCTTAATCCTCACTAGGGTTATGTCGGGCGGAGTCTTTCCCAGCTGACTCAGGGTGAAGGCAGGTTCACCTGGACAGGTAACCAGTCTATCACAGGGCTACACTTAGAGACAGACAACCAAGCACACTCACATTCACACCTACGGACAATTTACAATCACCAATTAACCTCAACATGATTCTGGACTGTGGGAGGAAGCCGGAGAACCCGGAGAGAACCCACGCTGCACGGGGAGAACATGGAGACTCCATGCAGGAAGATCCTCATGTGGACATCCGGGATCTTTCGCGAACCGGCGACCTTCTAGCTGCGAGACACCTGCAGGCCAACTAGTCATTTTTAAATAACGGTAGCTGTTTTTACTCTTTATGTATCACAATTAATGTATTTTATTATAAGGCTTTTATTGTACTTTTGTGTCTTTAGTGTGATTTAATTTTATGAGAATAAAAGTTGCATATTTCAGTTGTACTGTGCATGTAAAAGATCAACCAAGGACAAGAGTTAAATATATGTAACGGCTAATAACGCATCAGGTTCATGGTCTGTGTTGTGACAAACAGCATCACCACGACTGTTTCAGGGACAAATGACCACATAGCCTGAAATATTTATCTGTACTGTTTTGAGCTTGTTTTGCTGACAGATTCAGGGTAAACAGATATCACAGTTTGCCACTACATGGGGTTGGAGAAGCTGCTGGCAGCCGACAGTGCTGAGTGGACACTGTCATGGCTGCAGAAGTGCTGACAGGGCAGAGGAAGGTGAGAGCGCCGTGTCCACAGCTCCAGGTGTTCTGAAGACTGTGTGAAAAGAGCTGCACATACAAAAAAGCGGTTGACATTTTCCTGGTTGATAGCTCAGCAAGCATATGGTCTATAAGGCAGCTGGTTGTTGCAGGTGTCACAGGGAACACGAGTCTTCAGCTTTTCAGGTTTTCACTACAGCAGCCCTGCTTTTCTGAAAGGCCAGGGCAGAGACCGGCCCGGTCCAAATGTCGTCATGCTTTTGCTCCATTCTTCTGGTTTGAACGAGACAGGGCGAGCTGTCCACGTGGCCTGCTTTGTTCAAAATAAATAAGTGAACAGTATACGCCACTAAATTGCTTCACATTGTGTCAAATAACTAAAAAACATCCGTCTGGCTGCTGTCCTCCTCTCCTCCTACATATTTGTCTCTTCCTGACCTGATGCTGCAGGTCAGTGAGGCCAGGCTCTGAGCATGTACGCAGCGCTCTGCCTGGTGCAGCACATACGGCAGACACACAGAGGGCAGGTAAGAGGCTGTATGGACGAACAGCCCACTGACCCACTGATGCAGCAGCCTGCTGGGATTTGTCCTGAAAACCACAGGCTGTTTACAGAGGTGGAGGTCTGAGGCATCACCTCTCACCTGTTTACAACTCAGCCTTAAGAACTCTCCCCAGGAAGATGAACCCGCATCCACACCTAGCCACAACAGACCCTAACGAACCCCGTTGTGGCAGGGGGAGCACTAACAACCAACATAACGAGGGGGAGGAGCAACAAACCCCCAACTGAAACCCAAACTCAGGTGTTAATGGCTCCTTCAGGATGTCAGTGTCTGGAACTCCCAACTAGTCAGTCAGAGCTGATGAAGCCTCTTGGATGAGAGGTGGAACGTCTTCAAGAAACTCAAGCAGGTCCAGTTGCTACGATTAACCTATGAGAAAAACCAGGACCCGGATGACTGAGAATCTTCACAGACAGAATCAGCTAGCCTTACTAGCTAGACTACTTACACACTCTGAAAAGT